CTTCTCTGTCAAATGCTCACCAATTCGGTCATATGATGAGTAACCATGAGAATTCGGTTAATCATACTCCTGCGAAATCCGGCTCATCGCTCCCCCTGACTCCTATGCCTCCCTCTCACTCGAATCACTTAACGCCTTTGCCTTTCTCCAGATCAGCAGCAGCTCCAATTGTCGTTGCTAAACGTCCTAATAGCTCTCCTAGAATGCACAAAACTCCGTCTTTTTCAGCTAGACCGATAGCTTCCCCCACTTCTACAGGGGCCTCTGACTTTTGCATTTAAGTCACCAGTGACATCGCGTCAGAACGGTATGATCCACAAACTGAATCGGACTCCGGACCAAATGAAAGATAGTACAATTCCATTCATATCATACATATCCATCTCCAATGTTTTTTCTTAGTACCGTTGACAATTGCCTTGCTGTTTGAAATACACTAGACATTATATTATTTAATGACAGATCTGTTATAAACGAGATGGCCTAAGTCAGAGCCATTGTCTGAAAAGGACGCCTAATATTAAATGCATAACGGAATCTTGGACCCACTGCCTAATTCCTGACTCTGTCCATTTTATAGATGACTTTGATCTCTGTCGTCAAAACCGCTGAGGCGGCAGCCGCTTGATATTTACACTAGTTCTTTATCCATTCAACTAAGAGTCAAAGAAATGTTCGAAATGGCCTCAGGGATGCGTCAAACGCGCGACTGGCAAAAATAATCACTTGCTCTTCGTTATTCGAACCCTGGCTAATCGGTCGCTAACATATTTCGTCATCAGTCCTCCTCTGAGCGTATTCACGAAATTCCACCCTTGTAAAACGATGACAAAATCTTCCTTATTGTTGACATTGACAAGGCGGAGTTATTTAGTGCTTCTTTGCAAAACAATTTACTACGCAGTCCGAACTAACACCTAACTCGTTCACTCTCAAACAGGGCACAGAGTAAAATCTAAATAAGAAACAAATAAGTCTTTTGAAAAACTCACGCTGATCGGGAACAGGCGGGATACCAAATTCGACTATTAAACAGGCACCTGACTTTCCAATATTGCTTACTCACCTGTTTTCGTTTTATATTTACAATGGATTTTTTCCGGACACATGGAAGACGTCAATTATCATTCCTGTCTTCAAGTCCGGATATCGGTTCGAGGTTGATAATTAACTGGGTGTGCACAAAACCCCGTCTCTGGCAAAATTTCTTGAAAGGATAATTTTCAATGAAATTCTTGCTTTCTGTCCGGCTAATCGGCTTCTCAGCTCTAATCAGCATGGATTTTTACCTGAACGATCCTTAGAAACTTGCCACTTAGCCGTTCTCAATCTTATCAAATTTCTTCGTAATAAACAGCGGTCAGTGGTAATTATCTACTTTGATATTAGCAAAGCCTTCGACAAGGTGTCCCCTAGATGTCTTTTGATAAAATTGGTAGATCTCAGCATCCGGTCTCCTCTACTCAACTTCATCGGGTCCTATCTATCCAACCGACATCAGAAAATCATGGTCAGCAATAGCTAGTCAACACCTCATTTGGTCACGAGTGGCGTACTTCAAGCTGGTTTGTGGGTCCGCTAGTCTTCCTTCTTTACACCAGCGAAATTTCGACTGGAATCAGCCATTCGCAAACGTTTATTTAAGCCAATGACTTGAGGTGTGTTTATCCATGTCTTAAGGATGCCACAAATATTTTTGCTGAAAAAAATCAATGCCAATTTACTACGCTTATGGAAATGAGGTTTCCATCATCCAATTGTAGTTGCTTGTCTTTTGGTCCTGCCAGACTACCAGGTCTCATAATTCTTCACAAAAACCTATTCTACGAAATCGTTGCCATAAATGATTTAGGTTAAGCTTATGCAAATAAGCTTTCTGTGACACTTCATACAGTTAGAATCTCTGCTAAAGCTGGACAAATATGCGGGTTCACATCACATAATTTTCCTTCCGGAAATGAAGCTATCACTTTATCAAATGCATGCTATCCCTGTCCTCGAGTACTGCTGTCATTTCTTTGGCTTAATGAACGCCTGTGACCTTAATAAAATCAAAAGAGATCAGATGGTTTCCACTCGGAAACCCTTCTCTTAAGCTGCATCCAGTATTTCTTATACTCAGAGCTGTCATCTGGTGAACGTTAAATTTTATGGATAAGAAGACTCGAAGTTGCCCTTGCCTACTTTTTTGTATTAACTCTACCTCCATGCTTCTTAGCATCGGCAATCTCACTTAGACAGATCGGTCTTATGCCACGCGTTACACCTGTATGCTGATTCTGCCGCCTGTTTGCGCTACATTTAAGCGCTTTCTCCTTTTTGCCTCCAAATGTGCCTTCCTTTAGAATAATCATCCGCCAGAAATTAAGTCATCGCCTAAGTTACCGGTATTCAAATCGAAATTCCCCAAACACCTTTCACCGGAAAGTATAAAGGCACTTTTAACGGTCTCATTCCCGTGCACTCAGCTTCTTGAATTTGATAAGGATCCGCCTGGGATTTAATGGTATATAATGCAAGTTTTGCTTGTTCAAGTGGAGACACTGCTTTATACTTTTACAGTTCCTTGCTTTTAATTGGCTGCTAAACCCGCTGTTATTACCCCTCCCCTGCAGCGATGATTTTCGCGGTTCTTGATGTCATCTCCTCATTTCGACCCGAAGCGGTCTCTTGTCGGTCACGACTGAATCTTCGGTTTTTGCCATTTGCTAGTAGTTTGGTCGACGAGTCATGGTCGATTTTTCATGGTTGCATATTCCCGTACACTTGATGACCGCCTAGGTTTTGTGTTCCCTCCTCGGCTGGATTCTAAGCAGAATATGAGCGATCGCGTCTGACTTACTTTCGCCACTTCGACGCCGGCAGCCTCCGCCGGTTTAAGAATTCTGCCTTTCGAATCCCTTATACACTGCAAACATATGCAGGCCAGTCATGTCCGGCAGTTTATTCTCCTTAAAAGCCAATCAAATCATATTCATTTTGTCATTTAAAAAGAAGGAGTTTTTCACACCTCGCCGACCCTTTTTATCCATTTGAAGGCTTATAATATAAGCATGAACCGAATACTGTTTGTGGTCTATGTACTTGTACTACAAATAACTGAAAATGCATATCTACTTGCTAGGAAATTACCCTGAGTGTACCCAATAAAAGCATATTCATTTATCCATTTACGTGAAAATCTTTTGGGTAAACGCGGGACATTCAGACGCCAACGAATAGGCCGAACGGTCAATAGTCGATAAGAGGGTAAATGAAAACGTTTCTGTAAGCGAACTAAGGGCTTGGGCACGAAATACGAATATGAAATGGCAAAAATAAACACGCAGGAAAACGGTTAACGAGAACATGTGACTTGGTGGGAAGTTGGGAGAGAATTTTCAGTCAGTGCCCACGTGGTCCCAAATTCCAAAAATAGTGAAGGATAGAAAAATTTCGTTTGAAACAATCGTCTGTTACACTCACAGTGATCACAGTGATCACAAAGGATTCAAATACAAAACCCTATAAATAGCCAGCACTAATAGTTACAGAACTGTAATATTGCCCGAAAGTAACTCAAAAGTAGAGTAGGCGGCCATATACGAGGAGGGGTATAAAAAAAATCAGAAGGAAATTAATGAAATGAGTGTTATATTTTACTATACTGAAATTTGCGCGTCGTGGTCTAAAAGTCGCCAGGATCATAGCCTCAGGTGAGCCGCTTTTAAAGACAATTAAAACCTGTCTTGGATGAACTGTGACAGGCTGGGCAGTTAGCCGTCAATACTTCGCTTTAGCCTTAAACCAGCTTGCTTATGCACAAGCAGACAGTTTTTCTCCAGGTAGAAGCGCGAGCGATTTCTTTAGGTATATCGCCATAATTTTGGTGTCTCTCCGAACCTTCGGCGCCAGATAAATATTGACTATTTTCTAGGTATGTGACATTGTCATCTGTGCCAAGGGGATTAAAAAGTCTGCGAAGTGCGGATATACAGTTGGGATGAGGAGTTTGAGAAAGCGGGCCATGTCATACCAGGTCATGCTGTCTTATTGGGATTTCGTCCTGGATGTCAATCTTTGCTTTCCGGCTGGTGTTTTGGATAAATCCTGTTCCGGGGCCCTTTTGGCGAGGCGCTTTGAAATCCAACATAGTTCATTGACCTTTCTTTTTGAGTTTTGATTTTCAGACTGCCTAACGCAGTAGCCTGAGGGCACCGACGTAGCCTCTTACCGTTCATGAGTGTCCTTAATGTTCCACTTTTTTTCGTTGGTCAGTATCTGCCAAATTTACCACATTTTTATCTCCCTTGAACTCCAGTCCATTTTATTGTCGTGTCTTTAGCGAGATGTCAGTAACAACTCCGTTATTAGAAGCATCTGCAGCGATAACGATCGGCGGTATCAGGTCATAATACATCAGCAGTAAATCCGGACTAAGCATCGGTTTGTGCTGGACGAAGGCTCCTTCACAGTCGAAGCACCAACAACAAAGAGTATTCTTCTGAAGCAGGCGGTTACTGGGGCCCGTAGGTCATGCAGTAATGGCAGGGAAACACTGTAGTAGCTGACCAGGCTAAGGAACGAACGAAATTTGGATAGATCGCTGAGTGCAGGCATCTGTTGGATGGCGCGAACACTTCCCTCTCTGGATAGCGACCAACAGTGATAACGATGAATCCAAGGTATTTGACTAACTCGTGGAAGAATTGGCATTTGTCATCCTTCAGGGGAAATCATATTCCTGCACGCGCTCGAGTACAGTGCAAACCCGCTCTGGGAGCTCAGGAGAGTAGTGACCCATGGTGATCTTCCAGGCAGCCAGACGTACTCCGAATGCCGGAGGGCATTGCGTTCATCGTTTGTTAGAACAGAGCTGGGACGTTCTTGACACCAAAGGACAGCTTGGTGTACCGGAACAGACAGTGGTTGGTGTTGGTGGTCAACAATTCGTGCGACTCTAGAGTGACTACGATATGCAAGTACCAACCAGCCGGATCCAACTTGGCAAACCATTGCCATCATTCAGAAGAGGTGACAGATAAGCAGGAACCGGCAGTGGCGAGAATATCGGCGTCAACGCAGCGTTGAAACTGTAGAGGAGTCAGTACAAGTGCACTGGTGGGACCACTTGGCTTCTTAATTGCAGCATCTGGAGCAGGCCAGGCGGGGGATACAGGTATCAAGGCCCCAAGCTCCTCCAAACGCCTCAGTTCAGCATCGACCAGTGGCAAGGCTGCATACGCGACTGGTCTCTTTGGACGGAAGACTGGTTGACATCCAGGATAAAGACGCAACACGGCTTGAGTGCATGTGCAACGACCCAGGCCGTCTTGGAACACTTGAACGAACCCTTGGGGAATGTCGTTGGTGGGATCTGAAGGCACAATAGGAAGCTGAGCCTGACTGCAAACAACGCGAAGCGGCATATCGGCCAAACCAAGCTGTCCCATCCAGTCAAGCCCAAATTGATTGAGGTTAGACTTGGTGACAAGGCAGATAGTTGTCAGTGTAGTCCCGTGGAAGGACACAACATCGTAGTTGCCCCGTTAACCGGACAAGGCCGCCAAATGCACTAATGGCGGATTAAAAAGTCTGCTGCATCGTAGAGCGGCCAAGGAACTGCCAAAGCTTCTCAGAAATAATAGGGTTGTCCGAAGTAGTGTTCAACTGTAGGCGGACTGCGTGATTATTCGGTTGAACTTCAGCGGCCTTTCTGCGATCAACCGCATTGAGCTGGAGAGTGGCCAACGGACTCGGCGAATTGCCAAGGAACTGGGAATTGGGCTTAAGTTTCGATCGGAAACAATGCTTGTAATTGGAAATGGTGGGGGCAGGCTTGCTTCCAGAAGCTGTTTATCGGCAGAATCCATTGCGGTGCCCTTATCCGATTAAACCTTTGGCTGCAATGGTGGCGAATGTGCGGTCCCCGATAGACATACCATGCAGCACAGTGCCGACAAAGAGGTAGCAGTGATCTGGACTTGGACACCTGCTTGAGCCGCCTCACAGGGTACGATTTGCCTGCTGTGACCGTATTGACGGAGCAGGATATGGCAGGGCTCTGGGTCATGGTGGAGCCGACCTTGAGCTTGTTTGGGGTCTTACACTCTGCGGTTATGTTAAGCGGTCACACCTGCGACATTTTTTGGGCTCATTGTTTGGTTTCGCGGTCGTTTTTTCCAGCAGGCTCTGTTAGAGGCGTTTTATCAGCCACATTGGAGTTTTATCCTTCGAATCCATAAAATGTTATTCGATCTTCCCCCTGAGGGAGAAATCGCGGACGCAATAGAGAGATTGCACACCAAGAAGCCCCTCAGTGAGGACGAAAATCCCGCCGAAGTTTGCAAATCTTTTGTCGACACTGGCGCCCTGGCTCCATGACGTGATGGACGAATGTGTGGGAAACGGGATATCCCCTAATAACGGGCCCGGGCATCCTTGTGACTGCCACCAAGAAGGGATATAAGATAAAGTGCGAGAACTACCGCGGCGTAAGCCCAATCGAAGTCGCTGTGAAGGTTTCCCCCGCTGTCACTCTCAGGCCATTCCTGGGTGTGCGTGTGCATGACAAGCCCCAACGAATCTGGGTTCTGTGCTGGGCATAGATTCGCAAAACAAACATTCGCACTGCTGCGCATTCTTGAATTTCGACATGGCTAATAGCAACTGACGACCGTCGTTTTTGTTGACTTTGCTGCTGCGTTTGATTCCGTTCATCATGAGTCCCTTTGGCGGATAATGGATCTAGGTAGTATACCGGTAAAAATCTTCGCCGTGATCAAGGTCTATTATCGCCTGACCACTGCGCGAGTTCTGGTCCATAATAATCCCTCCCAACCGTTGGATATCCGGTCTGAATTTAGACAGGGCTTATCCTGTCACCCACCCTGTTTATCTGTCGTTTAATGAATACTCAGAAGGGCTTTACTAGGTTTTGATGGCGTTGAGTTCGAACCCGGACGCCCGTTGACTGATCTTGACCACGTTGATGATTTCGCCTTGTTCTCCCAAATTTTGGTTGTCTACGGTCTGTGTTGTCACGAGTAATTAAATTCGCTAAATCCGTCGGTTAATCAGTCAACGTTAGGAAAACCAAATTGTTTTCGTTCCGCATCCCCGACCAAGAGAAGGCACCCCTCGGGATTAATGGTTGTCAGCTTGAAAAAGTAGACAGTTTCAAATACATAAGTGAAGAAGAAGAGTCGAGCACCGGAACTCTTCGTTTATTGTCCCGAGCATTCAGACTCGTACAAGCGTCCATCGTCAGAAGTAGTGGCAGTTATAAGGCACGTAGGCCCAATCAGCGATCGACGTCGCACGACTGGAGGTGACTACGCAGGGCTCTGTACGCCGGCGCCAGATTGATAAATCGATTGATCGAGTTCTCATCCGAGGCCCAGGCTTCAATCAATTCTCGGCCTGTTTTGGTTCCGGCGTGGGCGACTATTTTGGTGGCTGCGAAGTTAAACTCGTGACCCATTTCGTAGGTGTGAGCAGCCACTTGTGACAATGCGTCGCCTCGTCGCACAGCCAGCTTATGTTCGTGTATGCGCGATCCGAGCATGCGTCCAGTCTGTCCTGTGTATTTACAAGGACAATTTTGACACGGAATGCGATACACTACTCCAGATTGCTCTTCAGGTTTTGACCGGTCTTTGATTTTCATGACCCTATTGCGCATGGTGGCTTTGGGGCGGTGTGCAATTCCAACACCTAGCTCCGCAGCAATGCGCTCGGTCGCTTCTGAAACACCCTTGATATATGGCAGAGAGTGCCATATCGTCGGTGGCGTTGATGCTCGAGTTCTCTGGTGGCGACCGCGTAGGCAGCGGCTTATGAATGCCCTCGGATAGCCATTTTGCACAAACTGGTCGCGGAGATAACGGGTCTCACGTGCTCTGTCCTCCGGTCTGCTGCAATGAGTTTGGATCCGTTTGAAGAGCGTCCTCACACAGCTTCGTTTGTGAGCCACCGGATGGTTGCTGTGAAAACTGAGAAGCTGCGTGGTGTTCGTTGCCTTCCTATAAACCGTCGTTTCAAGTTCACCGTGAAGGTTTCGTCTGACGAGCACATCCAGGAAGGGCAACTACTGTTCCTGTCCTTCTTCCCTCGTGAATTTTATATCAGGGAAGACTGCGTTGAGCAGGCTGTGGAAATGTTGCAGCATGGCCTTCTTTACGATGACGAACGTGTCGTCTACGTAACGGCGCCAAAATACCGGTTCATGTTGCTTCATGTTTCAAACACCTCGGGGCAAGGCTGCTGCCTAATACACAGAATTAGGATTACATTGTCCCCAGAGTCGATCCCGCTCTCAGGGTTTTCGCAATCCTTTGAACTTGTTCATAGTCCCGGCTTGACGTTTCCATTGACACGAAGATTCGCGTATATCTTGCACCCATGCGGTTGGTTCTCTACGGTTACTAATGTTCGGCTGTGCGCATGGAAGATGAACGAAAGCTAGAGGTGTTTGATCATCGCTGACTGCGGACTATCCTTCGAGTTAAGTACATTCATTTGGTATTGAGTGAGAAAGTCTGCACTCGCTACGACAACATTCGCGGGAATATTACATGACATCCAAGAGGGCGACTATGGTGTTTTTGGCACGTTATCCGCGGTCAGCTTCATGAACTCAATGTTACTGTCTCGATCCGACGACTTTGCCCATCTGGAGACGTCCAAGAGAATGTCAACTCAAGATCGAGTTCGACACAGTTTGTCAAGACATGAAAGTGGTTCTTGCGCCTTCGCTATTCGGTCTCCGTCGCCGGAGGTGAGAATGGCCCGAGATGCCCAGATGCGCTGCCACAGATCATCACAGATACAGTCCGCGACATCACTGGGATAGGTTAGATCAGGCATGATCACGACTGTGCCAAGCACTCATTGGGTATTAAAAAGGAATGTTTGTTGCGCATTGCCATTTCATATCTCAGACAGACTGTGGCACGGCTGTTGTTTCAGAACCGGATGGCTTCCTTATTAATGTGTTTTTGTGTGATTGCTCCCTTAGCTGTGTTAGGCTACAACATAGTCACAAGATTTTTACAGGACTGCACGTCTTAGTTATAAACATTACAAGTGAAGCACCATATCTTGCTCGCTTTTGGATCCTCCTAACACTGCCCCCTTACCGGCAGCCCTATGAACCCCTCTATCTTAACACACGGGTTTGGCGGAGGATTCATTATTCCGTGCATTTGCTTGATTCAAAGGTTGTCGTCCCAATGCACCAGTGAGGTTTTTGTAGGGTGATGAAAAAAACGGATTAATGAAGGTAATAACGTCGGCATCACCGGGTAGAA